AGGCCATCAACATGGCGGCCACGCAAAGTAATTACGTCATGACGCCCAAGCCCTATAAAATTATATTTTTATGCAAAAAAATTATTATAATTATTTTTTTATGTAAGGTTAAAATCCCACTCTAAATGAAGACCACATTAAAAACCCAAACTGTCAATTTACTGTTGAACTAAAATATCTGTTAGAAATTTCTGTCACAATGCTGCCGTGGCAACAAGATGTGTAACCACACCATCCTTCGTTGTTCCAGGCGTTAATATGAAAATGTCTTCATACTGAGCTAGCACACCATGGCTTGTTAAAGTTCTGTACCATTCTTAAAATTGCACTTCTTAGGCAGGGCTTTAAAAAAAAAGTAGGATAAACTGAAAGGAAAGTTCTAGTCGTGTTCTTTTTGCATTAGCACCCACACTAGGTAAATTGATTTAGGTACACTGGGTCAGCTCGACACGTTTTTGTGATTTTCCATTACAATTGAGAATCATCTCGATGTGGGTGGCATCGCCCTATTAAATATCCCGCCCTATAGTCAAAAAGTAATGTGCAGTGTAGCGGCACAAACACGACAACAAGGGGAGACCTGCTGTAGCTGGAATCAGAGTGAAACAGGAGAACCACAGACGCCTGTGAGCAGCTAGAAGAGGCACCCTGGATAGGTACAGGACAGAGAGGGACGTTATAGAACAGGCTTCCTCAATTACAGGCATTGAGGGACGATGTCCTGCACCTTTGAGATGTCTCTGCTTCAACACACCTGAGTCAAATAATCAGGTCATTAGCAGGACTCTGGAAAACCTGACTGCATGCTGAGGAGGTAATTTATGATTCTGGTATGGAAGCAGAGACACATCTAAACGCTGCAGGACACCATTTAGATGTGGCTGGAACTGACAAAGCCTGCTTTAGAGTTTAAAAAAGAAGAATATCAGCCAGATGTGACAGTAAGCTAGCCTTACAGGATGCTAACTCTACCTAGTCCTCATATTCACAATAAGCCTTGTGCCAAAGGTTTAACGGTTCGAGGTATTAAAATAATCTGGGACTAGTGATGCCGCCCCTGTAGTCAATCAGTGATCCACAGTCTTCTGAGATCACGTTTTCAGCTCAACTTTGTTGGAGCTGTAAGCAAGCAAGTGCTAAAAATAGTAGCTGTTCCAGATAGCCATTCTTTATGGAAAAGCCTAAAAAGTGAGCAAAGCTGCCCCGAAACAAGTCGGTGAAGAAGGGGCTATAGTTTGGCAGTCTGCTGTGGTACTGCCTGCAGTGGGCTGCATAACATACATGACACTTTGCCAGATGTATTTTTAAAACAGTCACTCTGAGCCCCATACAGCTTTCTGGCTTCTTATGAAAATAACTTCAAACTGTGCAGACAGTATAATGGACAGATTTTAGGGGTCACAAAACAAAGGTATACCTTGATACATTCAAAGTTACCTAGGAAATCAAATCAAATTGATATTGTGTTTCACTATCTCAAGTGTGCTCCATTATATTTTATTTTCACTGTATTTTTTTTGGTGCCTGCTTGTGTGGATGCACAGGGTCTGAAGCGCAGTGAACAAAGCAGCATGCTGGAGCTCTTCAGGCAGAGGTTACCCACTCCACCCTCTGGAGCTGACAGCGGCCCATCTTTGTCCTTCAGTGCCCCCACCCCTGAGCAAGAGTCATCTCGCATCCGCAAACTGGAGAAGCTCATCAAAAAGAGACTGTGAAGAGACGCAGAGCTTGATCTGAACAGGCGCTGCTGTGGCCTTCAGGTCTTTTGCAGTTAAGACCTCATTAGACTTGATGTCCGAACTTTGCTAAATGATGGTAACACAAAACCAATGTGATGCTTGGTTATGAAGAAACTTCCTCAACCGTTTGTTTCTGTTGCAAACGTCCTGTACTTCTGTAATTTTGCACTGTTGATTCTGTGACACTAACATCGGCAATCTTAGACAGCTATATGTGCTATTGTTAATTAAATTCTGCTCAGTTTCTGCTCCTTTATGTACCTAATCTTGGAGGAGCCTGATATGATGAATGAATTTTATGTTTCTTTGGGTAATTTACTCTGAGGATGGTATATCTTTAAATTAACTGTTTTGGAATGAGTGAGCTCAAATATTGATTTATTTCATTTATAAAGAAGACTGATATCTGGTGTAGGTGATGTTGAATTAGCTGTGCCCTATAATAATCATAATGTCTCAAAAAGATTTGCTTATTCAGGTCTGTGAACCAATATTTAACTAAATGCCCTATAATAAGCAAACATCATAAGAGTACATTCAGTGCCTCGCAAACGTGTTCATATTATGTCACCTTTCATCTATAAACTCCAGGGTATTTCATTGTGATTCTATCCAAAAAAAGGGTAAATCATCTTGATGTGGAGGGAAAATATAAACCCTTTTCATAATTTTTACAGATAAATGTCTGAAACTCGAATTAACCTCCTTGCAACAAAATACCTTCACAATCTAATAGTGTGTATTTTCATCTCAGAAATGGCTTGAGTTTTCAGATTTTATTTGTATATATAAAAAGAAATAAACTGATTCTCCTTCCACTTCATAATTTTGTACCATGTTTTGTTGTTTTATGGCATTCCATTATCATGCACTAAAGGTTGTGTTTGTAACCTAAAATACATCCAGTATGAATACGAATGTAAGGCACATGTAGCTGTGTGTAATTAGCTGTTTAAGCCAGTTGTTTAGAAAGCAGGTTGCAAATATCCAGTCAGTGATTCAATAAATAATCCTTGTGTTAATCTGGTATATTAAATAAAACTATTCTTTTGTTTTAAACACATTACTCCAAGGTTACATCTTAATTCTGTCTAAAGTGTAAACTCCAAAGTTCAGAAATGGTTAAAACCTTTCCATTAATTAAATGTGGCTGTTGTTTAACCTACCTTGCATTTTGTGAACAATAGCAGGAGAGTAGGCTGTATCCAGAGGTGTCAAGTAACGAAGTACAAATACTTTGTTACTGTACTTAAGTACCCTTTTTAGGTATCTATACTTTTCTCCATTACTTATTTTTCTTCCTATTTTTGACTTCTCATTACATTTTCACACAAGTATCTGTACTTTCTATACGTTTTTAAAACGTTTCTCGTTACTCTTGGCTTCGGTTTAATGTTTATAAATATTTATTTCACGTCATGTGAAAACTAGTTTAATTGATGAGTCATATAACACAAACACTCATTGGTTAGCTAAAGGCAAGGCAAATTTATTTGTATAGCACAATTCAGTACAAAGACAATGCAAATTGCTTTACATGATTAAAATATAGGAAAATAAAACAAACCAAGTAGGAAAAAATAAAATAACAAAAAAGAACATTAAAAACAATTGTACTAAAAAAAATAAAGTTGAACTAATGATGTTTCAGTAGAACAGTCAAAGGCAATCCCAAACAAATGTGTTTTTAGTCTTGATTTAAAGGAATTTAGGCTTTCTGCACTTTTACAGTTTTCTGGAAGTTTGTTCCAGATAAGTGGAGCATAGGAACTAAATGCTGCTTCTCCATGTTTAGTTCTGGTTCTAGGTATGCAGAGCAGGCTGGAGCCAGAAGAACTGAGTGGTCTGGAGGGTTGATACACTGATAGTAACTCTGTGATGCATTTAGGCGCTAAG